CAAAAAAAAAAAAAAAAAAAGACTTCGTATTTTTGTCATCAATTTAAAAGATGTTATAAAGTTGCCAACAGTGTGGCATGTTGGCTATAAAACTTATTATGAAATGAATGCTTTCAAAGATGGCAGGTTAATCTCAAATGAAAACTATTGCCATAATCTAATGCCACACATACTTAATTTAATGTTTTGCAATTTGCCCTGCCAGAGATAACATGAAAGATAGGCAACACAAGGTCCTAGATGACAAGAAGTTTATAGTGAATAGAGAGTACTCACAAAAATACCAATAATTATGCAAGACACAAAAGTTTCTCAAGATTTATAAAGGAAAAGGTAGTAAAAGATGGTCAAGAGAAGTTTACTGAGTATTTTGAAGACAGATTTTTTTTAAGAACAGGCAGGTACTGTACACTGGCAAGAGCCTGAGACTGTGGGAAATACATTCGAGGAGAGACAACATCATGAGCAAAGACAAGTTATAATACCATGGACAGTCTGAAAACATACTTATGATTAGCAAAAAGGTAAGAAAAGAGAAGAAAGGCAGATCAAGAATCTGACTGTAGGCTGGGGATTTAGCTCAGTGGCACAGCGCCTGACTGGCAAGTGCAAGGTCATGAGTTCGATTCCCGGTACAGGGAAAAAAAAAAAAAAAAGAATCTGACTGTAAAATAAACAGGAACACCAAGTTATCCAGGAATGTCCCTGAGAATATACTCTTGGGATAGCTGCTTCCTTAAAATAGTAATGAAGAACTGAGCACATTTGCACATTCCTGTAATCCCAGTTGTTCGTGAGGCAGAGACAGGAGAATCCCAAGTTAAAGCCAATTTGGGCAACTTAGTGTGACCTTGTCTCAAATAAATAAAAAAGTTTGGAGATGTAGCAGCACAAAGGCGCTGGGTTTAATCCTTAGTACTGCGCCCCCCTCAAAAAAAGGTTCACATTTTTTTTTAAATAAATGGACAGGTGAAAAGAGGAAATGAGGAACTGAGCATGGTAGTTGAACACAAAGGGATAGTTGTGCTCTGAAAGAAAACTTGTTCCACCTAAATTCCTATTAAACAATGCCAGTAAGCAAAATTTGCGTGAAAACTAATAATTTAAAGGACAAAAAGTGACCAGGCTACTCATTCACAGTTAAAAAAAACACTGCACACACACAAGTGGTATCATATTTGGGGATTCAGGAGTCCCAACAGACCAACTTCCCAAGGGGCAGAACTTGTCCCCTTTCAATCCAATCTGTGCCAAATTCTCTAAGGCACCAAATGATGCTCACAGCTGACAGCACCCTGATAGGACTGACAGAACAACTGACCAGAAGTCTCTGGGGACCATTCTCAAAGGTTGAGAAATCCTTCCCCCTTTTTTATGCCTGTATTCATTCTAGATGAGTTACTAGATGTTTATGACATTAAAGGAGTTTAAGTGAAAGTACACTGTAGGAGTTATAAAAGTCACATCTCTGCAGTACTGGTCTTGTCTCCTGGAAATCTCCAAACCAAGCTGCATCATATTGCGAAGTGACATGTACTACTAATCCTTCGATGCTTAAAGTGAGCCTTACTTTTGTCATTAACCTAGTAGTCACGATCTGAGTATGTGCTACAAGTGAACAATGTACCTGAGAATTTTTTAAAGGTATACTTTACTACAAAATGTTTAAATATATCCCTTTTAGCCTTTTCAAAGCATACAATTCAGTAGTTTTTAGTAGACTGATAATGTTCTGTAACCATTCACCACTATCTAATTCTAGAAAATTTTCATTATCCCAGAAAAAAGCCCTTGTATCCCTCAAGTATTCACTCTGCATCCTTCCCCTGCCCAAGTCCCTGGAATTACAGGCGTGCGCCACCACGCCTGGCTCTAATATTATTTGATAAGTCAATGTAGTAGAACAAAGTAAGAAAAACCGACACCTTGAATTAATATTGTTTTCTCAATGGGAACAAAACAGTTGAAGTATGATAAGCAGAGGCAGCAAAAACAGAGCTCCTGGGTTTTTTGTTTCCTATAGGATTCAAGGTGTTTCTTTGGGCTGCAGCTACAGATAAAACTGCCAGAGCCTCATTTGTCTCTCGGGGTAGACCATCTGTACTCCACGGGTTTTTGGTTACATCAACGTTCCTTAAAGTTTGAGTCTTTAGGCCCCTAGGCCAGTAGAATTTATGAAGACTGGGTACTCTATTTGGAATGCGTGAGAGGTTAAACTTATGTAGCTGGTTTTTCTTGGTGAGCACAGAACATGAAAGAGCTGTTTCTCCAACATCTTGTTCTGATAACTTGGAGTTGGGCAAAATGCTAGAGTGAATACAGGTACAAGTTACCAGAGTATAATGTCTACTGCCTAGAACAGTGTCTGGTACATAACAGATACTCAATAAATATATCTGGAAGAATAAGAACCTGTTAAAAAATGACCAGCCAGATCCAAAAAGAATCAAATACTACAGAAGATGGCGCAAACCCGCAATGCCAGCACTCAGGCTGAGGCAGGAGGATCACACCAAGTTTGAGGCCAGCCTGGGCTATGTAGTAAGTTTAAGCCCAGCCTAAATTATAGAGTAGGTGTCTCAAAGCAAAACAAAATGATTCAGATATAATTTATAGGAAAAAATTCTCTTTGAAATTAGAAACTCAGTAAATAGATGAAACAGCCAATCAGACACAGCTAAAGATACAATTTTTTTTTTTTTTTTTTGGCCTTTTTGAGACAGGGTCTCATGATGCAGTTTAGGCTGGCCTTGAGCTCACTTTGTAGCCCAAGTGGTCCTCGAACTTGGAGCAATTCTCCTGCCTCAGCCTCCTGAGTGCTAGAATTACAGGCATGTGCCCCCACGCTCAGCCAGAATGTTTATATTAGAAGGTAATTATGATGAAATTAAAACTGCAGGACAAATGAACAAGTAGATAGAAAACAAAAAAGGCTAAGAAACATAAAGAAAACAATTAAAAGGTATGACATGGTACTTCATAGTCATAAAAGACTAGAGAATGAAGGAGAGGTGCAATCAGAGATAACAGCCAACGATTTTCCTGGAGATGAAAATATAAACGCATAGATATGGAAAAATACACATCAAGCTAGGCAAATATGAAATGTATACCTAGATATGGTAATTGCAGATCATCAAGACCAAAAACAAAAGGCCAGCAGAAAAAAAACAAGGAGTCACGCACTCAGGAACCCCTTCTGTCCCTCTTAGACAGAAGCTTTCTTTCTCTCAATAAACACTTCCTACTCTTAAAAACAAAAAAAGACCTACAACAAATACTCACTTAAGGCTGAGGCAGAAGGATCACCAGAGTTCAAGGCCAGCCTGGGCTACGTAGCAAGTTCAAAGCCAACCTGAACTACATAGCAAGACCCTGTCTCAAAACAAAACAAAAATACAAATACTCACTTACACCAAGAGCTGACCTCTTTTAAAAAAAAAAAAAAAGCCAACTACAAGAAAAATATACTTGGCATCCCAAAATTGTGTATCTAGCATCCAGTAACTAAAGAATATACATTTCCCTCAAACATAGGGGGCATGTACAAAAACTGACCACATAGACCTCTTAAAGCAAGTCTCAATAATTTCCAAGTAATTGCCATCTGTTTGATTACTATGCAATTTAATTAAGAAATTTAAAACGGCAAAGTCCCTCATACCTTTATTTGAAAAAGAAAACACTTCTCTTTGCACCATGTATCAAAGTAGAAAACGTGGTGCCAGGGATACAGCTCAGGGGCACACAGCTTGCCTGGCAAGCGCAAGGTTCTGAGTTTTTGATTCCCCATACCAAAAAAAAACCAGTAGAAAATGTAACGAAAACTAAACAATACTTAGAACTAAATGATAGCAAAAATACTACACATTAAAACATATGAGAGCCATGTGTGGTGGCACACGCCTGTAATCCCAGCACTCGGAGGCTGAGGCAGGAGAACTGCTTTGAATTTGAGGCCAGCATGGGCTACAAAGTGAGTTCAAGGCCAGCCTGAAGTGTATAGCAAAATGCTGTCTCAGACAAACGGAAGGAAGGAAGGAAGGAAGGAAGGAAGGAAGGAAGGAAGGAAGGA